TTTCCTTACCCATTTTTCGATTCCTTTCTCCTTCCTTGGTTCCTTCTTTTTTCTGTCTCTCTTTCCTTTCAACGATTTTATCTTCCTCATTTGCATTGTATTTTTTAAAAGTCATTACCTTAAGTCATTTTTTAAAGCTAGACTCAGTGGGTTAAAGCCTCTGCCTTCGGCTCAGGTCATGATCCCAGGGTCCGGGGATCGAGCCCCGCATCAGGCTCTCTCCTCAGCGGGGAGTCTGCTTCCCCCTCTCTCTACCTGCCTCTCTGCCTACTTGTGATCTCTCTCTCTCTGTCAAATGAATAAATAAAATCTTTAAAAAAATAAAATAAAAAAAATAAAGCTAGACTCAGTATATATACACAGAGATGTACATATAACTATAAAGTTGTAGAATGAGTTTAGAAAGTAGAAGTTAGACCTATCAAGTAGGCTTTTAAAACAGATTACTTCAAGTTTCCATGTTTGCTATTATTATGTTTTGCTTCATGACATTTAGTAAGATTTTGTTAGATTCCTATTTCCCTTTGAGTGCAGTGCAGCAATTGTATTAAAGCCTCATTAAACATGGATGTGGTTAATATTTTATAACTATGTAATCCATCTCTTCCTTAAAAGTACTCATGATGTTGCAAACATTATAATTCAATGTACTATATATAGGTAGTACATGTTGCACTGAACTCCAGAAAGTGTGGTGGAGGGTCATGATTCTCTCACCTCTTTATGCTGAATTATGATACTTACTCTAATAATATATTTTGATATTGTACTTAGTTCTAAATATAAGGAGTAGGTAGTACAGCATTGTGATTAAGAACACTAAAATGCAAATGGTAGATATTATAGTGGAGTGATTAAAGGCACAAACCTGGAGGTAGACCACTTGAGGTTTTCACTAGCAATATGACTCAGAGCAAGTGATTTAATCTCTCTGTGCCTCAGTTTCCTTGTCTGTAACATGAGGAATGATAATAGTACCTACTTGTTGGGGTTGTGGTCTCTGGCATATAGTAAACCATGCAGTGAGTCTGGATTATTATTTTTAATATATAGTATAATATTTTAGAATATTAAAATATTTTTAATTTTTAGGTCTCTTGCAGCTGAATGGGGTAAATATGGACTGCGATTTAATGTGATTCAACCAGGGCCTATAAAAACAAAAGTAAGTTTTAGTTTGCCTATTCTCTCCTGTATGATTAAGGAACGAAACGTTGATAGGAATATTCTGACTGTTGTGTGCAGGACTTGTCAGAGATGCCTGACTTTGGAGCCCTGGTGGTAGGGAAGAGGGGTTTGCCATTATCCAGTATAAATGAGGAGGTGCGCAGGAATACAACAGCTGTGTAACTTCTTGACAAGAACTATTTCAACATCTTAATCTGGGATCTTTTGTGCCATCCATTTTGCTATTTCGTCTGATTTGCTTCAGTAATCTGATATTAACCTATATTTCTTAATCCTCACCATATTTTATGACTCTTAACTTTGATTGACATCTCTTTTTTAGTTCATGGAAATGTAAGTATATTTTTATTTTAAGAGATGTTCTGGAAAGTTATCGTAGAGGCTTGGTCTTTCTATAGGTAGCATTTTCTTTGACTCATTTCTGTGCCTTTCATTTGTAAACACTCCATTATGTATGTCATATAACTCCCATGTCTCTCTGATTACAAATCTTTCTGATGGCAGGCATTTCTCCTATAATAAAAAGTGCTTACAGATACTCATTGCGACTCACAATGACCACTAATGCGGTTACGGCCAGAAGGCCCACAGGTTCTGTGTTCTCTCACATTGCCCCAGATAACTTCACTCTCACTCTTTGTTTCTGTGTAAAGCAAGAAGTTACAATCCCAACTGACCTGTAGCTCCAAAGGCCTACGTGAAGTATGATAGCTTGTTCTGATTGTATAAATACATTAGAGAACAGTGCTAAGGAGCATTTTGGATTTTAGGTAGTTCTGGGTACTAAATGTCAATATGGACATGGCTGCATAGTTTATTTAGTTATTCAAAGGGCAGAAAATAGAAAGAAGAACTAGTTGAGTGGATGAAACTTGATTATCATGTTTGACACTCTAGTAATAAAGCATCTAATATAATTAATGGAAAAATAACTCAAAAGCATACATTAAAACACATAATTCTGGACAGCCCTGTGCTGAACACTCTTTGAAGAGAAACCTGGAGTCACAGAAGCTTCTTTTAAGGACCTCAATCCTTAGGAAAGGTCACCTGCATTTTATTTATTTATTTGAAATATATTTTAGTGACTACTATGTGCAAAGGTACTGAGCAAGATACCAAACATTTGTGACAGAGTATTTGCCATCAAGGAGTTTACAGTGTAGCAGTAGAAGTATCAGTTGTACACAAGGAACAAGTGTGTAGCTTTAAAGAGATGAAAAGAAAACAAAGTATAGAAACTCCACAGCAATCCCTACAGAGCCAGAATTGGGACCTGTTGCTGCCCTTTGTCTCTGCTGGGTTATACCTGCCCAGGGATGGCAAAAGGGCTAGAGGGCTCACAAGGAGCCTCCTGAGAGCAACCTTGCTCTGTCACCAGTTTTATTGAAGAAAACTGTCACCTAGACTTCCAGGCACTGATACAGAGAAATTCAGTCTTCTTCTTTTTAAAAAAATCAGTGCCCATGCATACTTCATCCTGGTCTGCACCTTTGCATCATTAGTAGAAGGCAGACATTGGTTGGCAAATTTAGTTACAGGGGTTTTTTTTCCTCTAGGAGCTACTTCAGTTTAATATTCCTACATACTTGTTTTCTTCCTTTCCAGTTATTTTGAGAAGAAAGAAGAAAAGGAATTTCCTTTTAAAGGTTTCCCACTTGAGTCACTCTTCTGTGATTATTCAATCAAACGTAGTACCATGGCATCCGCCACACTAAGCTTGTACAGATTTCAGAGTACTTTCATATACATTTTCTCATTTGATGCTTACAACAGTTTTTCTCCTCACTTTATAGATGGGGGTAAAAAGATTATATTTTCTGCTGATTTTTTTAGGTCAGTATTAGATAAAATGACCTGTTTTGAGCTGAAGTGACTTTGGAAGAATTTGACAAAAGTCTTTGTTGTTTACAAGGCCTGAGGTATAAACAGGCTGCCATAGTAATATTCCATTTTGTGCAAACTAGTTTCTTAAATTCTTTTTAATGCAACCTATTTTCTCACTTTCTAAGGGTGCCTTTAGTCGTCTTGACCCAATGGGAACATTTGAGAAGGAAATGATTGCTAGAATTCCTTGTGGTCGGCTAGGAACTGTGGAAGAACTTGCAAATCTTGCTGCTTACCTTTGCAGTGATTATGCTTCTTGGATTAATGGGGCAGTAAGCATTGTTTTCTCTTGACTTTTTGGGGTGGTGGATTTGGGGTGGGAAGGCTTATTGTGGAACCATTCCTGACAATATTGAATATAAATATGACTTAAAAACAGTGAATCTTGGAACACTGAAAAAATAAAATTAAGTTAAAAAGAAAATATTTATTTAGCTGTAAATAATATTAAAATATTAGATGTTTATAATATTATTCTATAATATATTCTATAATATAAAATAATAGATGTTTAGCCTATAGAGTTTGTACTTTGATAAATTAATTTTATTAAATGCCAATTACTCTGGCAGACATGCCTTTAAGGTGATCTTTAATATTGGGTAGAATTTGAAATTGTTGAGATGGGGGAAAGAGGCTCTAAAATTAGTAAATCAGATTGGGTTTAATCATGACTTTTGTCTTCAAACTTTGGGTTTTGATTGAAAGCGCCAAGGAGATGTTACATCCAGTTAAGAAGGGAAAATGGCTAACTCAGAAACTTTCAAAAGGAGTTAGTTTCAGAGTTTTTGTTATTTTTTTTTTCAGGTCATTAGATTTGATGGTGGAGAGGAAGTATTTATTTCAGGGGAATTCAACAGTCTGAGAAAGGTAATGCCATTTTGTGAATATAATATATTAGCAGCTAAGATAACAAGCTTTAAAAATATGAAAGAACCACATAAAATTGCCTTTTTCTGTTTGTGTTAGGTTACCAACGAGGAGTGGGATACAATAGAAGGACTCATCAGGAAGACAAAAGGCTCCTAAGACCACTCTTGCCTTCATCTCGGTTATGAGGGAAATGCTATAGTTTATGATATTTTGAATTATTTTCAAGTCTAATAAATTGTTAATCAACAAATCAGGACTGAATGTATATCTGTGCCAGGCCAGTGGTAGGTAGATATTGTACATTAACAGATATGTAAGATGGGATATTTTCCCTTCAGAATTTTTTTTAATAATTAAAAAAAAGGCAAGTAAGAGAAGGCTATGGTAGAGGTAAAATGCTTGGAAGTGCAGTGAAAGAAACAGATATTATAGCCTGAAAAAATCAGGAGAATCTTAATGGTTGAAGTAGCATTTGAGTTATGCATTGAACCATGCCTGTGATGATGGGGCCTTAAGAAAAGAAAGTGATGGTATACAGTAAATTTAATGGACTCTGATTTATTGGACTCTGCCTTTCCATTAGATTTCCTTTTCACTGGACTTGTGAATTATCTTCTTTAGATAGCTCAATATTAATTCAAACAAACTTTTTCCAGGACCTATCTTATAGTCTGCCATTTTATTTGGTACTGAGGATACAACATGAACCATCTACAGACTTTGCCTTCTTGAAACATTATCTAGAAGGGTAGAGAGACCTATAAATAATTATTTGTGGATGCAATGTGATAAATATTATTCCAGCAGTGTAAAAGTATGGAGGAGGAAGTAATTCATTCTGTCTCCAAAATGCAGAGAAAATGACACCTAGGAGATAGCATTCCATCTCAGCTTTAAAAGATGACTAGATTTCTCTAGGTAGAAACTATGAACAAGCTTATAAAATATTTTTGTGTGTCATTACATTTCATTTCATAAGTGGTTTGACTAATTTGTCATCCTGAGAATCAAATAATAAACCCACAGTCTCAAATGTATATAGCTGTTATTTTGAGCTTATATTTAAAAAAGTCTATTTTGTTTTCAAAGGAATTACTCGTAAACATGATCTCTATAAACTGTCTCCATTGCTCAAATTACCAAGAGAAGGAACTAACTTCCATCTTAGCTCCTCTGAATAGATCGGTCAAGGAATCTAGTTTTCCTGTTTGAATATATATGCTCTAAGTCCCACATGGAAACACTTACCACAATTCACAGTTAATTGTGTACACAATTTATATTAAATTGTGTACATAAATGGGTAACATTGTAGATTTGGAATAAGTGGCCTTGACATTCTCAATCATACTGAGCTTTTCTTCACACTCTCACAGTGCAGGCACATTTTGCATTTTATCCTTAATGCTAACCCTCATTTTCTTCTTGTCTGCCTACATCTTCTTTTTCAAATTATTAATACCTCTTATAGTGTAGGGGAAAAAAAGATGCCAGTAAGTATATAAATGCGCTTGTATAAGTTTCATTGCTTTTTATTTTCCTCCTTATAAAATTCAGGATTTTAATATCTGCTTCCTGGGGTTCTCATGAGGAATAAGGGAGGTGAAAAAGTGAAAACACTGTAAAATGTAAAATGCACAAATGAAAGGTGGGCCTTTCTGTCATTCTATCCCTTCACTTTAAGACTTGGTTATTATAGAAAACTTGAGAATTGAATAGAAAACATTTAAGACTAACTTCCTAAAGATGTTTCTGTTAATACTTTGGTATATTTATTTTCAGTCTTTGGCTTTTTTATTTAATTTTATACTTTATGAAGGTAATTTGTTTATATAATTTGCACAGAAAGAGCATCACCTTAATTCTCCGAGCTCACTTTCCATATAGTAGGCTTTTCAGCTTTTTTGAGTTCATTTCTGTTTTTTTTTTTCCCCAGAATATACTCTTTCCCTCTACTAAATCTACCCATAAAACCATATCCTTAATTTTGGTTCAATTAATATTCAATGTTTACATTTTTTATAACTTTATATTTTTCCCAGTGTTTTTTCAACTTTCCTCTTTTTTAACAGTTTAGATTGTATGACAAGTCAGATACTGTGTTTTTCATCAATATGTTTTTTTGTATTTCATGGTTTACATGTATCATACTTAATTATTCTCAGAATTAGGTTTTTATTTTCAGTATAATATATTAAAAAACTGTGATGAACATCTTTGGGTGTGAAACCTTTTAGAATTTGGAATTTTTTCCTTGTGACAGATTTCTGGAAGTAATATTATTAATCAAAGTTTATGAAGCTTTTAAAGACCCCTGAAACACAGTTTCAAATTGTTATTCCTAAGATTTATATGGGTTTAGAACACCCTAAGCTGTGTGTGATTGTGTCAGTTTCAACAAATAGCTACCAGCATGGAGTATTCTCATTTTCAAACTATTCACTAATTTCATAAGTAAAAAATGATAGCTTCTCTTCAAGCATGTGTTTATTTACTGGGGCTCTAGAATACTTTTCTATACTTGTGAACTTCCTGTTTGCCTTTTGTACCTATTGGTGTCTTAATTGGGTTTTGTAAAAAAATTTGTCTAAGTTTTTAAACACATTTTTCTTCTATTATTAGAGTTTGCATCATTATTTTTTATATATAATATAGATAATACATATTATATATGATAATATATAATTTTGTGCATATATATGTATATGTATATATATATTTAAAGCTTTATTTATTTAAGAGAGAGAGTGCAAGGGTGAGGGGCAGAGAGAGAGGGAGGGAGAGAGAGAGAGAGAGAGAGAGAGAGAGAAACTTTAGCAGACTTCTGTGCTGAGCATGGAGGTGGATGCAGGACTAGATCCTAGGGCCCTGTGATCAGGACCTGAGCTGAAACCAACAGTGGAATGCTTAACCAACTGCACGAACCAGGTGCCTCCTCATTGTTTTTGTTTTTAAGATTTTATTTATTTATTTGAGAGAGAGAGAGAGAGAAAGCATGAGAAGTGGAGGGTCAGAGTGAGAAGCAGACTCCCTGCTGAGCAGGGAGCCCAATTGAGCAGGGGATCAAGCAGGGACTCGATCCTGGGACTCCAGGATCATGACCTGAGCCAAAGGCTGTCTCCCAACCAACTGAGCTACTGAGGGGCCCCATCATTATTATAGTCTATTACCAATGTTGAATGAGGAAGAAAAGATTGTAAACATGGAAGAGAAGGCCAGAAAAGAGAAATTATGGGAATATCAATTAATTGAAATTTTTAGGAAGTCTGAAAGAGACATTATTGATGAATAGTTACTATATATAATGACCTACCACCTTGGGGCTGTAACCATATCAGTGATTCACCTTAAGAATTATCACTTTGCCATTCCATTTAGTGCCATTTTGAAGGGTCTTGCTTCCAATACTGGAAAAGTTAATATTCAGTAAGTTAAAGGGAGGGCTATTGGTAGCAATATCACCAACCTTACAATCCATATATGAAACCCCTCCAGGAAATGTTTCAAGTATGGAGTAACAGCTGTTGTTACATTGTTCTTGTGGCAAAAACTAAAGCAGCAAGAATTTAAGTGACTTTGAATAATGGAATTTTGGAGCTGGGAAATCTTAGAAGATATGTCTTAACCCCTTCATTTTATAATCGAGGACACTGAGAGTTCAGGGAAGTTATGAACTTGCCTTAGGTCACTCAGTCAAGGTCATTTCCTTCCCAATTTGACTATTTGTTGGGATCATAATTTAAAGCCAAGAGGCAGTAACAGGGTGTCGATGAGATATAGTTCTCTTGCAAAGGCTTTTGAGGGGAAAAGCTTATTTTCTTTTGTTCTTGATCAATTTTGTTATTTTGTTTATTGGACATAAAACTATTAGGCTTTCCTAACTTCATTCTCAACTTCAATCTCTTTAATTTGAATTTCTTCTGACATCTTAAATTTCTTGACTGTGAGGTAAAATAATCCTTATGTTTGAAGACAGAATAAATGGCCCTTAATTATAAAATCTCAATTTACCTTGGCAGTGGAGGAGCTGCCTGCTCTGCCTCAAAACACACTCTCCCCTGAACCCACGCTCTGCTGCAGCAGCTTTCTTTCCATTCCTTGGGGTTGTTTGACCTAGAACCCTTTGCACTAGGTGCTTATTTGTCCTAGGAATGTGCTTTTCCTGATTTTGGGGGGCTGGCTTCTTCAAAGAGGCCTCCCTAAATTCCTGCTCACACACCATTGTTTTTTTAAACCTTTTATTTGATGTAGGATTTCTTAATGCACACAAATCATGAATTATCACAAAATGGATATACTTGTGTAACCACTACCTGGGTAAAAAACAAAACATCACCAGGAATCCAGAAGCCCGACTTCCCTTTTATGAAACTAGTCACTATCTTGACTTCTAACAAAAGAGCTAAGCTACTTTTGTTTATCTATGTAGAATCACACACTTAGTATTCTTCCGTTTCTGGTTTTTACCTGTGTGACAATTGTTGATGTATTCTCCTTGCTATATAACATTCCATTGCATGAATATTCAACAGTTTATATATTAGTTTGGCTCTTGGAGGACATTTGGGTTTCTAGTTTGCAGCTATGCCAAATATGATGCTAGATGCAACTGTAAACCTTCTTTTCTTTTGGTGACTATACAGACCTTTCTCTGTTGGGTTGTTAAAACCTAAAAGTGAAATTGCTGGGTTATAAGGTGTCTGTATATATTCAAATTTGGTAGATACTGCCAAAGACCTTTCCAGAATTATCTCGATTTAACTTTCTACCCAGCAGTAAGAATTTCCACTGTGCTACAACCTCACCAATACTTAGCATTCAAAATCTCTTGAACTTTTCTGATGAGTGCATAGCAGTATCCCATTTGTTTTAATTTGTATTTCTCCTGAGTACTAATAAAGTTGATTGCTTTTATTTATTTTAGCTACTTAGAGGTCTTTTTTTTTAATTTGTAAAATGTCTGTTTAAATTTCTCACATATCTTTAGGGTTGTGCTTTTTAAGATTTATTTTTAGAGTAATGTTTATATATTTCTGGATATGTACCTTTGTCAATTATGTGTTACAAATTGATGCGGGAGGTCATCAAGAGGACATGACCACTGGTTGACCCAAGAGCTGTACCTGCAATCAGAGGTTTCTCACACATCCCGCGTCCTTGGAATATTGGTTCCACGTGTCCTCAGTTTCAGGCTGGAGCGGTTTTCAAGGATGCAGCCTGGAGACTGCAATGCCTTGTTGAAACCACCTGGACCACATACTACATGACTGAAGCTGGTTAAGGCATCTGTATAAGCTTTAAGATTTGGGTGGATGGTATGGGCATTTACTGGTTGTGGGGCTGCCCAGGACCAACCTCCTAAGTAAGTTTCCTTATTAATCTGGTACCTGTAATTTGGAGTGGCCTGCTTCTTCAGTCTCTCATTGCCCTCTAGCTATGGTGAAAAATTTCAGATTTCACCTGGAAAACTCCCAAGATTTTGAGCCAACCCAAATATCTTCTCAGACTCTCATGTTTGATTTTTCACTTTCTTAGTAGTGACTTTTTTGGGAGTACAGTTCTTAAGTTTTTCCAATCTGTTTTTTTCAAAATTAGTTGTTAAGGAATCCAATTTTTCAATCTGTTTTTTTCATTATTGGTTGTTAAGGAAACCTCCTATGCATGAGGAGTGGGAGATATCCTAATAGGTTGTTGTCTGTGTACCTTTTGCATTTGGATTGATAAAACACCTGGAATGAATTTTGTCTGTGATAAGAGATAGGTGCGTATGAGCTATCTTACATTTGTTCTGTCAGAGTCGTTTTCCACTTTTCTGTTTTCTGCTCCAGGAGGCAGGCCTGTCACTTATAGGTAAAGGTGACTGATTTAGCTGAGTTATAAGAATTTCTTTCCCTGACAGTGCTCAGGTGTTAAAGTTTACCATAACAGGCTGGGGGCTGGATTCATGACTATTATTATTGTTGTTATTAGCTTTCTAGGAAGTCCCCCCAGATTATACTCCTATCAGACTTCCTGTGGCTGTTGTTTTTCTTTCTTTCTCGGTGCTACTTATTTTGGTGTACCTGCTCTTTATTTTGGTGTACACTTCATAATGAATAGCCATTTCATCTGTAATGAACAGATGACTGTAGGAAATCTGTATATCCCTCCTATTTCTGTCAAGGAACTCTTTCACCAAGAACTATTTGATCATGTCAGTTGGGCAAAGGACTCCCAAATACTTGGATTTTTTTTGAGATTTCTTTGTAAATCTTGATGTCAGAGGCTCCGTTAAGGCATCCAGTAATCCACTGAATCAGGCAGACTGACATTTATTTCGATTTCTTAGGCCATAATAACTTGAGCATCCTACATTTTCACCTGGATTGATTACCAATTACATGTCAACTGACTTTTTTGAGGTAGAAACAAAAATACAAGAGATTAAAATTATTTTCCTCTTTATTTATTCTTAGTTGTTAAATTCAACCTAAAGTCAGTGCTTCCATGTACACACTAGAAGCAAAGCCAATCTAACACATCATTTGTTAAATTTTATTTTTTGGCAAGTTTCTTTTCTGTTCATCCTTGGGGGAAAGAGATACTTCACTTTTATTTTGTTTGTGATTTCTATGAATTGAGAAAAGTAGCGCTGAATTTATAGAGTTGGGGACATTGAAACTGACCCACAGCCATTAACTCTTTGGCGGTAACTTTATAAATTTCATACAGACACATGTCTCTTAGCTCTTTGCTTCACAATCAAAGTGTCAAATTACCACCCATTACATGTCAAGTGTAACCAGTAACAGGATGTTCTAGCTAGAGATCTATGAAACTGACTTGGATGTAGGTCAAAAGACCATAGAATCTCCCTTGCTAAATAGGTTAAATGATTACATTAGTATTTCTCCTCAGATGTTATTTTTAACTCATTTGAAACTATTTGCGGATAGAAATAGAGCTATCTTGAATGGTGATCGCAATACGAAATATATAGAATTCACAGAATACACAAAATTATTGATGATATAACATTCAACAATCAGGGTGCTATGAATTTTACATTAAAATTTAATTATGTAGTAAAAAATAGAGTTGTTATAGCTAGAAAAAAATATTTTCAGAGGCAGCAGATACCCTTGGTGGAAATGGACAGTCCTACATAGGAAGAAAATCCAGGAAGTATGCAAAGTAGACACCAGGATACTAGGCATATATAATTTAATCAGAGATCACACAATATGACATAGAAACAGCAGTTGACTAGAATAATTATAATCTGCAACACGTGAAAACAGTTTAGAAAATGGATTAAGGTCATACTCTCTGACAGTAGGCTTCCTGGAAATACAGATGTAGAATCAGACAGATTTGTGTCATCTGTGCTATCTTTCCTTGTTATCAGATTAACTTGAACCAATAGCTTGGTATGGATTCAAGCAGTAGACGTGTTGTTGATTAATTAACTAAGTCTTGTCTAGTGAGACTGTTAACCTCATAGAGCCACGAATAACTAACTATTGATTGATATTTTGGTATTTTAGATGCGAAAGCACATTCTTCCTAATAACTGGAAATACAGCTTAAGACTATTTTGTGGGACAGACCTGTGATTGTCTGAAATGGTAACTAATTAGTTACAAATGTGCATTTACACATCAGAGACTAGAATTTTAGAGATTAATCCTAGTGGAATTTTCAGGGAAATCTTGTCCAACTATATTTATGAAAGCAAGAATATGTTCAGTTATTTTTTTTTTTTCAGTTGGGTCTATTGACTGGCTTAAGCCGAGACTTTCTCCTTTTTCAGTCATGTAGTTACAAAAACTGTACATTACAAACAGTGTAGAAACAAACTGAAAAGAATGTGCCACACATCCTGGGTAATCATCTAAATGCAGTTAAATTTACAGATACAAAAGAAAATACAGCCTACTCCCTTATAGTGCACAGTTATTGTTAGATACAATGTATCGCTAGTAAATGGTCATGGTCACCAACTCTAGTTGTCTCCAGCAGAGAGAATGAGAGCAAGATCCGTTCGGTACAGCTTCCCCCCATCTGATAAAGCCATTATGCTTTTCTTGTATGTTGGAATATTATTAATATCCAGATCCTGTATAGAATATAGATAGCATTGTTATCCAGCTAAATATGGAAGTTAATTAACCACTGTCAAGTGATAAAATGTAGGATGACAACTTCTTGTTACATCAATCCATTAAGAGGTAGATTAAATTCTTCCACAAATATGAATAATCTCAAGGTTGTTTAAAAATCTATTTATCACAGTTACACAGTTTTAGGCCAGTACCAAATCAGGTTAAGAATTGAATTCTACTTCTGCTGCTCTATAAATCTTTAAAGTAGATTTCCAAAAACGGATGTGTGGTGCTTCTAGATGGATCCTTATAGTCTGCTTAAAAAGTGAGTGGCATGGTAACTAGATTACCTGTTTATTCTTCTCACACAGATCTTTCAGTAAAGCATCCAATTCGTTTTCATCTATGTATCCATTGCCATCCTGAGGGAGCAGAAATAAACCAGTTTACAACCCACTGCACAATAGCAGGGGGTGTAAGAAAACGGAAGTAACTGATTCTTCACAAAGTCTCCCTACTGCATACTTGGCAGATATTCCAACATCTTAATGTCAGACCCTCCAAATTCTTAATTGCTCCAAAGGTCCAAAATATATGTGAATTGCTTCTCATGCAACACCTTACATTTAAAAAACACTTTGAACTTTTTGAAGTACTTTTACATATAACGTCTCACTTTATGTTAACAGTATCCCTTCCTGTTGAAGTAATTAGGTTGTCGTTAAGTATGTTCACGTGAATACAGACCCTGAGGCCTGGGGAAGCTGTGTGACTAGGCTGATGTCACACCAGGTAGTGGCAGAGCTGTATCAGAGCCCACAGAGGAGTGATCTGATCCAGGAGTAGGGAAATTAGGAAAAAATAAAAGATGGTAACTACTGACATCACAAACAGCCTTTCCTCATATACATGATGTTACCATCTATTATACGGGGAGGATTCTCCTGGATATTTTCAACTAACTTAATCCTCCTCCCACCCTGGAAAGTGGGTATGATCTCCTGTTTACAAATGAGGAAACCGAGGGTTAGAGGAGTTTGGTATCTTATTCAAAGCCTCAAAATAGATCAATTGTAGCATGGGCCTTGAATCCAAAATCATCTAATTGGGAATACCAAATGACAAGATAAGATGACAAGAGTAAATTGGCTGATTAAGTTTAATAGCTCATGTTTTTTGTAATATGGACCGTGAGTTTTAGGGTTTCTTCCCTGTGAGAATTTTCCAAATTCTTCTGAATAACCAAATTATAGATAAGAAAGAACTTTTACCTGATCATATAACTCAAAAGCTTTATTGAACTCTTTCCCACACATTTTGACTCCCTGGATGATAGAGAAGAGAGCAAAGGTTAAAGTGTTACTATCCTATTTCATTGTGTTTCCCTTGGCAAATCTCCCACAGTCTAACTTTTCAAGGAAAATATTGTTTATGGTAGGGAAAAGAGAAATACCTGAAATTTAAGAAGAAAATTCTCCTGTACAGGTAGTAACCTTTTGAGAGAGAAATAATAATAGATTAGATTTTTTGGGTAAGGATCAATTTATTACAATACCTGTATACTTTTTTTTTCTTTTTAAAAAATATTTTATTTGACAGAGAGAGATCACAAGTAGGCAGAGAGGCAGGCAGAGTGAGAGGGAGGAAGCAGGCTCCCCGCCGAGCAGAGAGCCCGATGTGGGGCTCAATCCCAGGACCCTGAGACCACGACCCGAGCTGAAGGCAGGGGCTTAACCCACTGAGCCACCCAGGTGCCCCACCTGTGTACTTAAACTCACCTGGCCATCTCAGTTAATTCCAGCTTCCCATCATTATTTGAATCAAATAATTTCAGCTGAAAGACAGAAGGTTATTATTGTAACCACTGAAGAATGATTTATTGTAGGAAGGAGAAGAAAATTCAAAGTAAAGTATTTGGAGTTATCAATTACTCATATAGACTGTAAAATTCTAGAAACTAGCTTTTATTAAACTTCTAGTGCAAATTTTCAGTTCTATAAGTTGGGTCAATTGCCAAAGTTTATCAGGATAATATAGAATAGTCAAGGTAATAAAGATCTTAGCTAAATTACACAATACAGTAATTTATTTTTCTTTCAACTATGTGTATGTGTCAAGATGTGGGAGAGTTGGTGTCTGGCAGTGTAAAGTATATTCTAAAATTTTCCAAACAATAATATGAAAATAAATATTGGTCTCCCTCTTTTATAGCATAAATCACAAAGAGAAGCAATAGGCAGATAGTATGAATAAATTCTTAAGAGAACAGAATTTTTGACTAATTTTCAATTATTTTCCATGGATAGTAGATACCTCCTCACCATACTTAGATTCACATCATACACCAAGACCCATCCAGATATAAATACACTCATACTCTTATTCAGGAAGCATGAATGTTTTTAGAAAGTAGCAACTATTGTTGTACATGGAGGGCCTATAGATGAGATATATTAAAATATATAAAGTTTGCATGCTACATATGTGAAAAAGCAACATTATTTTTGTGTTTTCAAAAAATGTGATCAGGTCATAATGGTTATAGGTTTAGTGAAGTCTCTTTAAGGAGAAAAAGAACAGTGTCTGTTTTGAAATGTTCTAAGAATGCTTTGTAGGAGGCAGATTTTTTCAGAGTCTGATACTGACACATTTTATAAATTGTTGACCATAAGTTCTGATATCACCAAACTGTCTACCAAGACACTGGACACCTGAGCACACAATTTAGTGTCCATAGGGGACTATTTCCCTACATATATATTTAAATCTTAATTAGTACTTGATTAATTTGCCTCTCAGATTTGAACTGGTTTATGACATTGAATCAGATATGCCAGGCCAGTCCAACAGGGGGAAAACTCCCATCTGAGTAGTTTTTAAAAGACTGCTTCAAATTTCTACCTGAAAGGAGTTCTTACTTTAAATAGACATCCCATAAGGCTGGCACAAAACAGAAAATTGATAAATGTAGGTTATTGTCCATTTCCCATAAACTATTCAGAGCTTAGATGTGCCCACTGTGACATATTTGTATGCTAGTGCTATGGATTAAAGAAGATGCTTTCTTGCAATGAAAAATTTTCAATTTTGAAATTAAAGATTAGTCCCGCTTTATAATATTCTATAGCAAATAAGACAATAGTAAAGTTTTAGTGTTTTTTTTTCCCCCTCTGCATAAAAGTAGGCTCACAGTTTGAAAGTAAGCCTCATAACTGAGGTTTATAATCAAGCCTTGTATAAGATGACTTCCAAGGGTAACTAAAAAGCCTAATTCCTTTATCAAACTAATAGAACATAATTTTTATAATATGCACTATTGTGGGGTATTTATGTAAATCTGTAAGGTAAGAATTCACTGTACCTTTACAGTACTTAAAGCATGTATAAATATATGTACTGATTTGGACAATTTAAAAAATTTTGCCTGGATTTCAAAAATTATAATGTTGCCAAAATATTGACCCATAGCTGAATCAGTTTGGCAAAGACTTTTCTTCATAGTTCTAATGCTATGTGTCAAATGAGGAAACTACCTACTTGAAATTGATGAACCTCATGGGTATTGGATTATTCTATCTAGAACTTCATAAATTTGTTCATTCCTAAAACATTAAGGGTCTATGTGTAAAGCAGTTTCCTTAGCTCATTATCAACATTCTATAAGATATCTTGGTTACACTATTTATCATAGCATCAGGCTCAGGGTACATTTGGAACTCCTCATGCAAGCACCAAGACAGTATTCTAAAATGCCCATTTTTTTTTATTTTTAGTCACTCAATAAAGTAGTTGTAAGTTCTGTTTAAACTCTTACAAAATTAATGATTTTGTGAGTCATGATAAAAACAAATTCAGAACCTTCAAAAAATGTTTTTAGTTATCTAATTTATGTATCTACAATATAACTTACATGTGTATAAATTATAACACTGGCTTTGTAAGAAAAATGATCTTTTGATAGATATAAATTACCTCCACAAGAAAGGAAATGCTCATGTGTTGAGCCTTAAACCAATGATGACAGCACTCACTTGGTCTTACTTTTCAAGTGAAATGATACCTAAATGTATGTAATGCCCACATGGTTTATTTATCTCATCCTCCACAGCCTTGAGAATTAACAAGAACACTGTAATATTTCATAGGTTCTTGGCTACTGTCTCTCCAAGATCAGTCTTACCATTAGGTCTGTATATTCAGCTAGTTTTGTATCATCGACAGTCTTGTTTGCTTTTTCCAGCAGGTCCTTTAGAAAGTTCTGTTAAGAAAAAGAACACTCAGGTAAGTGTCATAAGTAACCTATAATCTATTTCCATTTCAGCCTGCCTTGAAATGGAATGTCCCGAGAATGCAAAGAAAGCCTCCTTTGGAGGATAGAGCTGGGTGAGGAGAGGACCTCAGAAGGGAGATTATGCCACTTGGTTCACTTGGCATTCCAGCCACGATGCTGCCTCTGACAGGTAAGATATCTGCCTTTTACTGAGACCTGATCTGTTGTGGTCTATGTTGCACTGCTTTTATGACTTCAATTAAATGTGTATCTGGATTGTACACTGTGTAGGAATCTGAGTACAAGCTTGTATACCAGCCAGCCCAATGGGTGCATTTCTACATAATGATATCTTCATAGAAGCTCATATGGCTTTCCTATAAGAAACACAAGGGCCCTCTCTCTGCCATTGTAACAGGAGTGAAAATTATTAGCAAGCCAGTTGGAGAGCTACCTATCATCTGAAGTGCATTTTTCGTGCTCACAAACTGTGAGGTTTATAGACTATAGGAAGCTTGTTTCTCTGAAGGGCCAGTCACGTAGCTTTTGGGCTGAATGCAGTCCCAAACACCTTGGTTAGAAAGCTTCAGCTGGCTGTTCAGACTAAGACAGTTGGCCACAGATGATGTTCTCTAATCCTTGAAGGGTATGAGAATCATATTAAAATAGAGATTATTGTGGGAAGGATGAAAAGAGATCATTATTAATTTGACAGTTGGAGTTTAGGAGGGAGTTAAGTTTTTTTAAACAGAAATAAATCAAAAGTTTTCCAAAAACCACATAAATGACAGTGTTAACACTTAGGCATATAATATTCATTTTGTCTGGAGATGTTCATTTGTGACTCCTTTATTTTTTTCCAAAAATGAATTAATGCAGTTATGGAAAACTAAGCAGATACTGTGTTTGGATATATTGAAGGATTGGGTTTCTTTGGTTCTGCAGTGGTTTATCTTCTTCCCAAATGTACGAATTCTGCTGGGCTGGTTTAACTTTATTCTTTTTGAGGAAGGAGACCTTTTTCTTGGTTTGATTAAATGCATTTTCATTTCAAGCATTCCATTTCAAATCCAAAGTGAAGCATGGAAAATTCAAAGTTATGTATTGGGGGTGAATTTTATTTTTGAGCCTTATGAGTCTTTTGTCAGAGATTAATTGGGTTAAAAAGCTTCATCAGAGACTAAAATGGTGGTCACAAAAATAGCCTGGGAGAAACCTGGGGCCGCTGAGATTCAAAGTCGTGTCTGAGAGCAAGTGATGTTTTACTCTATTATGGATCTTAAAATTAGCTTTCTTGAAAGATCCATTAAAAAAGAATACCAACTTATCTTCAAAATTCCCCAGAGAGGAGGACTTCTATTTAGAATCTCTTTCTGAGAATAAAATGTAGAACAAAGAAGGTCAGTATTAGAAATGAGCTAAGGTTTTCATGATGAACTTGAAATGATTTTTAAAAGTTTGGTTTTTTTGTCCTATAGAATAAAGACACAATAGCTTAACTGTTACCTCGTGAGCTCTAGGTTGTTGTGCTGCAAGTCTGTATAAAATATATTGTTTTCACATTAGAAATGTTTATATTTCCAAGAGGCTGCTGTTGACTGTGTTAGAGCAATTTTACAGTGATGCAAATGTCCTAGTTCCATCTCTAAAATTGTCTGTGACTCAAGCCATATTAAACCATGACAAGGAAACTGAATTTGATATTCCTATTTCTACACTTGACAAGAATCATTATCAGATAGTCTAGATTCTTTCATGAGCAGCTAGGTAAATTTGAAAAATCGAATCTCTCTAAATTTCTGTTTCTCTGTATAATGGAAATGATAATACATGTCTTGCAGGTTTTCTGAGAGGATTAAATCTTAAAATACATTTCAAGCACCTAATACTATACCTGCCACATAAGTATATTAATTTGCCTCCTGTTTAGTTACTCTCTATCCCTGAGACTGACAAAATAGGGTCTCTGGACTGAGAAATCTTGGGGTCAGTTTAAGGAAATGACAGAAAGAATGTTGCCATACTTCTGAAAGGCTACTAAATTATTGAGTTAATGAGTAATACAATGTATTGTGCCATGTGTATTTCACAAAATCTTTCATATACAGAATTTCACTAGAGCTTCACAGTAAATGGGAGTGAAAGGTATTATTATTCCCATTTAAAAGAAGAAAAAAGCAGATGCAATAACTTGATTTTAGATCTCTTTGTTTTCTCCTTCATATATTTTCCTCCCCCACCAGCTCTTCTGTACATCTGGGAGAGATGAACTGACAAATTCATTTTCAAAGTTAAAATTTTTCAGAAGTTTGATTATAGTAGAACTTTGTTGTTGTTCTTGTTGAGAGGCAGGAGGTCTTATGGAATGGGTAGGGGACCTGGAGGCAGAGGAGTTTGGGTTTAAACACTGCAACCCAGCATCGTCTTTCTGTGTGGCCTCACTATATCACTAAACTCTTAATCTTTTTCCTCATGAAGGTAGTAGTGATTTCCGAACTCACATGAAGATTAGATAAAATAATGTGCATACATATTGTAGGTGTCCAACAATTGTTTCTTTGTCTTTCTCTTGGGAGAGAAATCTGTTTATATTCGTTTAATTTATAAAATAAAATGCCAAATTTCAATGAAAAGGAGCATCTTATTTGGCTTAGAATATTATTGTTCTATCTAGTATAACAACTTGTTTATATAACAGAAAATGCTATTTTTTTTTTTTTTTGCATTCCTGAATAGATTTTGGAGAAGTACTTGATGTCTCTTTTTTAATCTGGTACTTCATTAATGATGTGGAAGAGTGGGTGAAAATGTGCCATTGCTCAATGTAAGTTTCTTTTGTGGGAAGTTTTTTTAAAAAGAGTTCATAATTCTGTTCAAGAGGAAAAAACAGGTTTTTATTTGCTTACCTTAAGTTCCTCAGTTTCTATGAAGCCACTGTGATCAGTATCATATTTTCTCCATGTCTGCAAGTAATTTTGGATAAGGAAAACCAAATAGATTAAAAAATACACAACAATTTTCCTACACTAAGTAACTTTCTGAAGACCTCACTCATGGACAGAGCTCTATTTTACCTTCATGAATTCCTCACAGGACTTAAGCTGCTGGCATCGGAAGAGCAGCAGGAAGTTCTCTTCTGTGGGTAATATATGAGCCAACTGAAAAAGATTTAAAAAGTTGTAAGGGAAGCAACCCTTATCATTACTTCCTGCTTGGTTTTCTTGAATATATTGAAGTTTTATTCTAGAAAACCAGGAGAGGAAAAACGTTAGGACTGACCTTCCCTTTCTAATACTTTGTTCCCCCAGAGAAGCATTGTCTTTTCTAATGCGTGGGTGCCCCTGAGTGACGGGGCTGCCTGGTCAGTGAGGTGGCTATAGCAGGTGTGTTCAGAAAGCTCAGATAACACAGGTCTAACCACTCCTTATCTGCTGGACATCCAAGTAGATTCATCCCGGTGGCTTGAACCTTCATCTCTTCCGTGCCACAGAGCACTGCTGCTCTTCTCAGGGTGCACAGAATGTGGTATGTGTAGAGATATACATGACACGGAGAAGCAAAGAAAGTATGAAAAATGCGAATGGAGGGTAAAGGAAAGAAGGAAAAAAATGCATCCCCAGATCTGAGGAGAACGCCTAAGAGATGCAGGAAAGATAAACTGAAGACAGGGGCGCCGAGGTGACTCAGCTGGTTAAAAGTCTACCTTCAGCTCAGGTCATGATCCCAGAGTTCTGGGATCACATCAGTGTCAGGTTCCCTGTTCAGTGGGGAGTCCGTTTCTCCCTCTTCCTTTCCCTCTGCCACCCCCCCCCCAAATAAATAAATAAAATATATATTTTTTAAAGGATAAACTGAAGACTATTATAAGGCAGTGGAAAGAGAGGTGGAAAAGACAATTCACGATGAAGAGTGAAAATGAAACAGTAATTGGAAGAAATAGTTCTCAAATTGTTGGTTTAGGCTAAGAGGATGTCCACTTCAGATCCAGGGCTTGGGTTTAAGACCCTATTTATGACCCTCTGACCTGTCTCCTTAGATCTCATTTTATAACTTTAGAATCCTCCTCCTCCTCCTCTTTTTTTTTTTTTTTTTTTTTTTTAAAAAGGGCTCCAGATCCCATTTTAAGATGACTGTAATCTGTTATGTGTAGGAGGGAGGGAGCTGGATTGATGGCCTCACTGCAGGCATGGGTTCTATTCCTGGCTCAGCTGCTAATTAGCTGTGGTCCCCAGCAACTCCCTCAGCCACTTCTGGAACTTAGTACCTTCATCACTAAAATAAGGAGTTATGAAGTAGAAACCAATGTCTCTTAAATGTACTGGGTTCAAAATGACTTTGAGACTCTTAGAATCACTACATCTTCACCATTAAAGAATGAAACTACACATACAATGTTTCACCTAATTTCCTTGAAGTTCAGGCATGGACCCTCATCCTTGGACTTTAGACTAAGCGCCTTTGGTATGGATCAACCTCAAGTTCAGTATCCGTTCCAAAATTTCTACCAAATTATAGGAAAATCTATCTCCCATGTCCCTTTAAAAAAAATTTCATCCATTTAGGTATATTAAAGCTTTTTAATATAAAATGTATCTTTTCAAATTTATGTGTTTTTATGTCTTTAATACCTCAAATTAGATCCATTCAGCTTATAGACATTACATATGGAAGTGAAACTAAGGAACGGAGCCATATATCTTATTAGAATGTTAATATGACTGCTCAGAAGACCTTTTCTTATTTTGAAACAAAGGTCACGAGTATAGTTGTGCATTTACATAAGCATTCATTTGGGAAATAGGAAATAGCTAATGCCAATTCTTTTAGTTATCGGTATGTAACTTGTCAGATACCACTTTGTAAGCTGTTGTTGGCCCATCCATTTCTGGAAGGCAGGGACCATGCTTTGTCTGAATCACCTATATGCCTAGGGTGGTCCTCAATGCATTATATGCCTGACCTAAATGCTAGGGATTGGTTGATAATTTTACTTCATTAAAAATACCTACTTAACATGATCTGTAGTATTTGTTTTTACTATCTTCATTGCAATTTTCTATATTGCTTGAATTTTAATAGCTGTATTTTCAACGAAATGTAACTTTTCTTTCTTTTCTTTTTTTTTTTTTTTACGATTTTATTTATTTGACAGACAGAGATCACAAGTAGGCAGAGAGGCAGGCAGAGAAGGGGGGAGGAGCAGGCTCACTGCTGAGCAGAGAGCCCGATGCGGGGCTCGATCCCAGGACCCTGGGATCATGACCTGAGGTGAAGGCAGAGGCTTTAACCCACTGAGCCACTCAGGCGCCCTGAAATGTAACTTTTCTTAAAAAAATTACACACACACAAAAATAAAAGAATGAACTAGTAAGTAATTACTAATGTAAAATAAGGGAAAATTTAACCATCTTTGTCTCAAAAATTAGAGTTCGTATGACTGGCATAAAATTTAGAGGTCTCTAGAATGTCAAATATAGAGATGGTAAAATTGTTCTGCATATATAGTAAAAATGTGTATTTTTTTTCCCATGTCATTTTGGTCCTCCTCAGTTTCATTTATTTTAAAACATTACAGACTATATCTACATGCACATTTTGAATCTATTAGTTTGAACTGTAATGTTAAACTGAATATACAGCCATCCTATTTTAATCATTAGAAAAGCATCTCAAACATGTAAAAGATTATAATGAAACAAGCTAACCATTAAAAGAGAAACTATGAATATGTGTGGATAGGATGTAACTATAGTGAACATAAATCATCTTTTTAAAGGTGTGTTTCACCTTTGGTCCATCTGTTGACGCTTCCATCAATACACTGGGAATCAATGTTCAAATTTCAGAGCTGGGTGCAGTAACTCTCCAGCACTAGTGTCTTAGAGCATTTCTACAAAGTAGGAGAGGTCTTTTATTGAAGGTGTCAAGTAAGGTGGCTTTATTCTCAGATTTGTTAAGTCCCTGCTGTCCATGGAAATATTCACTATTGTCTGATCCAAGGTTGCTGGTAATTTCTTAATCCTTGGGCTGCCTGACTGTTCTTTTATGAACGCGCAAAACTTCGTTATGGTTTGGAAAAAGAGGGAAGAATATCAAGGCAATAATTAGAAGGCAGATGATTGTAACCAGAATTCCTCAGAGCTTCAGGTGTGAGAACTGGTACCTGTCACTGAGAGTGGGGAAATAAAAGTTGCCTGTCTCTCCTAGATACATAAAAACTACACACATCTTGAGGATAGGGTCTCTGTCTTATTACTCTTTCTTTGCCCAGCACCTGCAAAAATGTCAGTAAATACCTTACTGAATTTATGAATGAAGGCAATGGAGCATGGCCTAGGGTTAGCATAAGCTCTAACTAAAGTTCCTTTGGAGATAATTCAAATAACTTATTACTGAATTGTGGATAGATTTGGGGTGGATATTGTGATCCTCTACCCAGAGGTTTCTTTAAAAGGTGCTGAGAGTGTTACTTTGGGAGAGCCTCTGGGGTGCCTTTGGGAGATTATCTAGGCTGAAGAGAGCTGCCTTCCCAAGGATACTGTGTCCTATGACTCATCCACGTGAAGAGAAAAAGGCACAGCCCTGTCACTCAATTTGGGACTTCTGTGAGGAGCCGTTGCAGCTTTCAAGTCCGCTGTAGGGTCAACCGAAGCCTCTACTATATAGTCCGAGACTATATCACGGACCACTGTCTCCCTCTGGCCAGTCCTGCTCTTTTTATTTCCCCTCAACAGGTATTGGTTCTAAGAGCACCTCCTAATAAATTTATTTATTGCTCATTTTCGACTTAGATCCACTTCCCAGGGAACTGAACATGTCACAGGGTTTTTACACTTCTGTTTTATTCCTAAGCATAATGTAGAACCCTCTTCTTATGTCTTGGAGCAGGCTGAAATTCTTTGCTGTAGCTCATATAGCTATGATTCAGAACCTACTAGGCACTGTGCTAGATACTGGGGATTCATAGTCACTGTGGGTAAGAACCTCATAGGGAAGCAGATAATTTCAAACATTATTCCCACGATTTCAAAAAAGGAGATGTAGTGATAAATTTCAAGTATTAGTTACAAAGAGAGCACACACAATGGGCAATTTTACTAAAAACATAAGTGACCAAGCTACGTAAGTCAAAGCACACATGAAGCATAATCCTTAAAGACATTGGTGGTGCATGTTAACCTCCGTCAACACGTATTAACAGAGCATTCACTTCTTTCATTTGGAAACCAGAGCAGTATTCCTCCTAGGCAATTAAGTGATTCCAAGAAATTTGGAAAGCAAATAATCTTACATAAATTTAAGGCCAGTTGAGTTTAATAATTTCAATATGAAAAATTATATAAGAAGTTGTTCTAAGTCTTGGTCTTCAGAAGAATGGTGTAGATGTTCAGTTTTTTAAAAAATAATGATAGCAACTACTACAGTGTGCCAGATTGATGTATTTGTTTGATCTGCTTTCTCACATTTGATGTTGGTACTTATATACCGTCCCTCTTTACAAAGAAACAGGCAGAGAGGATAAATGAATTGCTATCATTTAGTGTGAACCAGATTTGAAAAATCCGACCATCTGACTTTCTTGACTTTTGAAGCCTTTGTCTTTAACCATCATGCTCCATTAAAATCTCCAATCAAAAACCTTTCCCTAATCATTGAAAATTATTTATCTGGAGAGAAGTTTTTAATCTGATTTTACTGTTCATCATTTCCCCAAATTCTGAGGTGAAAAAGTAGTCTGCTATGAAAAATTACATTCACTATAGCTAAACCTACATGCTCAAATCCTACTGTGGAAGAAAAGAGGGAAAATAGTGTCTGCCTCCCTGGGAGAGATGTTACAGTTTTAGGATTAAAATAGCTTTTAGATCTTTTTTTTTTTTTTCAGTGTATGCACTGACCTGGACAAATACAAAAAAAAAAAAAAAATTGAAGAGGATGGTAGTTTCCCACACGTTGCCCAAGGGATTAGGTGAAAAACTTAGAGTTGGTATCCTACTAAGGGAGATATCTGTACTTACTAGAAATTTCATCTCTGGCACTTATATTATCTGCTGAATCATTCAGTCTTCCTTTCTAATTATTTTAACCAGGCTTCCCCGCAATAAAGCTATTAGCCTGAATAAATTTAGAACATTTTTTGACTGTCATGGTGTTTGTTAAAGTATCTCAAAATTTCAGTGCTCCTGTTTTGAATTCATATTAACAATCTCTTTATAAATAAACTGTATTTGTGTGAATTTTAAAGTCTAAAGACATGAAATTTTAAAAGTTCAGAAGAACGACATCTATATACTACCCTTCATTTTACGTATTTCTGGATAGCAAAAGCATGTTGTTTGCAAGGTCAGTCCATTTCAGGATAGAACTCTGAAAATTAATCAATATATTTTCTGATCTTTTGAACAACACATTTCAATTAAAGTCAAATCACTTTAGCTCATTTCCAATAGGAAAGCAGACTACCACATGAATATCATTTGGTTTGCCTTAATTCGATTTTTGAGGATCCCATCTGTATGCCTATTAAATCTATAGGAACAACTAACTTCTTTTCCCTTTGAGCAATAAAGCGACATTATCTTGATGTGACTAGGTAGATTATCGTAAATTTTGGAAAGCATGGGGTTTCCCATTCCATCATGGCTGGCTAGAGTGTGTGTATTTGTGTCCCATGTTATATATAGGATTTCTTAGCAAGTGGGGGAAAAAAAAGATGAACTTTATTTTATTCAACTTCCTAGTGGACACGCCAGGATGTGGTATAAATTTGGGCATTCCCACTCTTCCTCTCCTTCTTTATGACTCATAATCTTTAACTTTCAATTTCTTCTTTCCAATGATTTTCAGAACCTCTCTTTACTCTCATCACTCCTACTTACCCACTCTAGACCTAATCAGCATGCCTATGAACGCCTGCAGTGATCATTCTTTCTGCTCTCGCATTCTAATGCTCTTCTCTCCAACTAATCCCCATTCCACGCCTCCTCTTGCGCGTGGCTGATAACTCAGATTAATGAATAGAATTCTGGAATCATGATCAGATCTAGGCTTGCATACACCTGTTGTCACTCCCTGCCACTGGGGCCGTGGATACAGCATTTAAGCTTTCTGGGTTTCAGTTTCTTCATCCTTAAAATGAGGAGTTTTGGCTAGTTTTCCCCAGGAGTCCCATCAGGCAAAAAATTCTGTGTCCTGGGGCGCCTGGGTGGCTCAGTGTTAGGTTAAAGCCTCTGCCTTCAGCTAAGGTCGTGATCCCAGGGTCCTGGGATCAAGCCCCACATCGGGCTCTCTCTTCAGTGGGAGCCTGCTTTCCCCTCTCTCTCTCTGCCTCCCTCTCTGCCTACTTAGGATCTCTGTCTGTCAAATAAATTAAAAAAAAAAAAAAATTCTGTGTCCTGGGATAGTTAGTTAAGTGAGACACATAAGAATTTATTCGAAAGTTTTTCTCCCTTTAAACTGTGTCTTCTTCAGCTGTTCTGTAAGCTTTGCCCAAATCATGTTTCAAATGCTTTGCCTAGAAAACTCCTCTATGTTTCATGCATCCTGTTCAACCAAGCTAAACATAAAGCCTTTCCCAAAGTAATCAACCAACTGAAGCTTGGAACTATTTTCTTTCAATGCAGAAGATGCACAGATTATTTATTATTTTAAAAAAGTAGAATAGTTTAGAGGAACACGACTGGAATCTGGCTGTTTCACCATTTATTTCTTATTTTTTCTTTGGTCAAATTCTGTTGAAGCCACAGATTCTCCAGCTATAAAATAGGTCCTTATACTATAAGTTAGGCTTCCTTTATTTTGTCACAAGGATCAAATGAGAGAATGCATTTTAGAAATTGTTTATTGTCATACTAACGTACTAATGTAAATTTTCTTACTGTGATTACTATAAAATTTCTCAATTCTTCATTTTAGCCTCCATTACCTTCTTTATCCTCATCTATTACCAATCTTTTCTCACACATAAAACTTTTCTATAATAGTTTATTATCTCAAACTTCTAGAGAAATTTCTTTCCTCAAACTTCTAGGACAATGCATCTGCTAGTAGTGGCCCCCAGGCTCTCATTCAAATACGGCTTCAAACTGTAATTTTTAAGTGGTAATACTCTACCATGTATAGTAAAACCTGGACTCAAAACAGATTCATCGAGTCCTTTTAAAAGTGTGAAATGCATGTGAATTGGATCATGATTTTTTTTATACTATTGTTTAATTTGCTTTCACTGAAGAAATTAAGTAAAATAAATAGCTGAGACCATTGGAGTCCTTTAAGGTGAAGTATGTTGAATATTAGATGATGGTCCTTCCTCTACTGGAATTATAAAATATTATAAAATATGTCAAGCTTTGAAATAACCACATCTATAATTTCACTGATTTTAGATTTTCCAATTCATTTTGAATAGATTTACCTCATCTCATTTATGGTCTTTTAAAGGTTATTTTCTTTTCCTTAATGATTTTGTATCTTGATGAGTTTACATCTGTGTCAATCTGTAAGTCCCAGTACCATTAATTTATCTTGTATATTGTATATTGTAATGAGTTATACAAAGGCAAAGGGGAAAGTGTATACTCCAGGGAAATGTTTTAATTACAAAGGTAATAATAGTATGTCCTTTCTTAACTCCTTTTGTAGGTAGCTGCTTAAAAATAAGCATTTCACATTGAATGGCAGATGTCCTGTAAGATCAATTAATTGAAAGCCAAGTTAATTCTCTGAATCAAAGGTAAATTATGACTACATGTTGTTGACGGCCAGACTACGTCACAACCTAATACACTAAGAATATTATAATAACATAATTATACTTTTGATTTGGCATATTTTAAAATATCACCTATTAATTTTTCTGGACAAAGCGGTCCACTCACTTTCTCTAATAGGTTGCAGAGATCAAGTAGCTGAGACACCAGAGCTTCAGAAAGTACGAGTAAGGAAAACAACAGCTCTTGCACAAATCTGAGAATGCTGAAGAGCTGATGCATAGTCAAAGTCTGGCTTCCTTGACTCATAAACAAAATTTGTCCTCCATAGGAATAGTCCTCATCAGAAGATAGGATTTGACACCCACAATTTTATCTTTTAGAGACTCAGAAGAAATCCTTTCCTATAACACATCATAAAATATTCATTAACTTTAGTTCTTTGTTTTTACTAAGGTCAACTGCCAATCTAAAATAGAATTTCAGGAACCAGGATGCAGCTTTCTGCCATCGTCATAGTGATTACAAATACACAGAAAACTGTAAAGTAAGAAATATCAGTGAACCATGTAGTTGGTTGGTGTTTTATCCAAGTGAGGCAGGGTAATGTAATGGCAAAGGTACTTGTCTAGGTGTCTGGGACCTGGGCTTCTAACTGTACCGATGCCAGCAAATAGGCACATAACCAAAGGAAAACCATTTCACCTTTCCACATTTTGGTTTTATAATGTATTATATTTAGGCTCTGGATTAGGCAAACTCTAAGGTCTCTTTCTTAGCATTTTGATTTTATAATTTTGAATAGAAGATAACATTTTACTTAGGCAAAATAAGCCTCTCCAAATCAAATCAAATCAAATATGATCTTGTCATATCCTGTCTGAGTTGGATTCAAGTACAAAATAAAACTCATTTCTTAAAAATATATCAGAAAAATACTAAGTTCCTTACCTCTACAATTCCTATTTTTCCATCATCTCTCTGCCCATACTGATCCACGAAGGTTTTCATCTCTGGTGATAACTCCTAAAATTATATCAAAAGGTAAGAAGTTTATTTAAAAAAAAAAACTACCAGTTGTGCTTCTGATATGTTAATAACTTCTGCAAAGAAAAACTGGAATTGAAACCATTTAGAATTATGCACACTGATGAACTATTCTCATGAAAACTGAAGATATAACTGATACACAGTATTTACTGGTTTCAAATGAAAGGGTTACTATTATAATTTCTGAATCAATTACTGATTTATCTTCTTTAGTTTTGAGAATATGCTATCCTTTAAAAATGTAGTCAGAATTACTGAGTTCATGACTGTTAGTGAATTTAAATATAATATACTTTAAACATTGCTTCCTTCAGGAAATATTCTTGTTCCAACTAATTGCCCTATAACATTTTCCTTATTTTAACACGTTTATCCATGGGAAGTAATAATAGGTGTTTTCAGTTTGGACAAGCAAGAAATGTGAATGTTGGAGTGCCTCACATTGTCACTCTTCAATGTTTCTAGTATCTTCATGTTCCCAACACAGAAGTGGCATTTACTGATTAAATACATTGAACAATTAAATTTAAAAAAATTTCAGATAAAAAAATGACTTTACCAATTTGAACTTTCATTAGAGACAAACAATTTTGATGATCTTATTGAAAGCTACTGGTTATATGTTCAGGATCTTTGCCTCCCAGAATAACTTAAGAGAGTAATTTTCCAGTGTTTCCATTTTTTCCTGAGATGTTTTCTCTCCCATGTATTTTAGTACAAGAAGATATGTTTAAGAGGGACAAAATGAATGCTTTCATCTCATTTGAATTATTTTGTCCAATCTATTCTATTGCTTACATAATCTCTTCACATATTGACAGATTAGAGGGCTATGAACTGTAAACTAGGGATCTGAATATAGAACTAGTATTCAGGAAGTTGAATTTATACCCTTGGGTCTCCAACATAGCCCATTTTAGATAGCCCTGTTGCATCAACTGAAGCCAATTTAAAATGGGTCAACCTTTACTAATATCCTATTCTATGTCCTTGGGAAAGTGTATTAAGGTCTCAGTTTTTATCATAACAAGATGATGGTATTATCTAGCCCATGAGTTTGCTTTAGGGATAGGTAGGTTAATATAGTTCAAGAGTCATATTGAAGCTGAATATCATTACTACTAGTTATTGCAGAATTCTTTTTGAACCAAAGTAAATATTTTTAGGATTGAAGTAACAAATGGTAATCAAGCAATTTAATTATAAAGTAGTCTTTGTAACAAAACTCTTCTATGGTTTAATTGTAATTTGCATTTATTAAATTTTATTATAGCAGTAAGAGAAGGAAAGAGTTCATCCCTTGGCATTAGTGGGATCTTCAGCTTTGTTTTTTGCACATACCTTAAAGTAAACAAAAACAATTTGATTTTAAATCTCAAAAATCACATGTACCACTAGTTTAACTAGCAGACATGACATTTAGTTTGTGAACTTCTTGGGTGGTAATTATGTCAAAATCTAGGTTTTAAACAGTACAAAATGTAATGACAATGATAATAAAATCAAGCTTTATAAAATGCAAATTTAAAGACAAAATCCCATGTTTAGTATAAAAGGGTAGCTTTGAAAATATTTTGGGTTTTTATATTTCATTAATGTTATATTCAGTTGGAGTGCCTGGGTGGCTCAGTAGGTTAAGCATTTGCCTTCCACTTAGGTTGTGATTCCAGGGTCCTGGGACGGAGTCCCATGGCTGACTCATGGCTCAAGGGAGCCTGCTTCGCCCTCTCCCTCTGCCAGTCCTCCTGTTTGTGCTCTCTCTCTCCCTTTCTTTCAAATAAATAAAATCTTTAAAAAAAGTTATATTCACTTATAATTAGTGAAATTTTTAAAATTTCACAGTAATAATACGACAACCCAAATAGTGCTTCCATTAATACAATGAAATTTGTTATCCTGTGGCCATAAATGAAAAGAAAACTGGTTTTTAAGATTAGTCTTTATGTTCTACAAAAAAAGAAGAAAGGGTTTACTACAATGAGGCCAGTAGTATAGGGATGTGTTTGTCCAGTACATGAACCTCTCAGTCTAGATCTCAATTTAGATTTTAACTATCCAAAGCCTATACACATAACCCAGAAAAATACTCAACAATCAAAATATTAATCAACTTGATTTAATCTCATACCTGTGCTCAAGTCTGCTATTTTTGGATTAATACCTAATAATTAGAATTTCCAATAGCTTAAAATTGGAGCCTGAGCAGTAGAAAAAAACTTTTAAATCTTTAGAACTCTAACATGAAGTTATTTGTTTACAAAACAGTACAAATATTTAAATGGGAAAAGAAAAATCTCAAAAAATATAATTTCTAAATATCTGAATTTCTAAACTGAAAATAAATCACAATATTAAAATTCTAAAAAAAATCATTTAGCTACTAGAAGTGTCTTGCAATGTTTTAATTTGAAACCATATGGCAAGTAAGATTATTCCAAACAGATATTTTAAATGAAATAAGGAACTGTTTTGGCTTTATTAGTCAAAGATATATAGAACTATAATATTACATGAATTTATTTATGATAATATATAAGGAGGGGAGGGTGTAGAGAGAGTGTATAAAACATTTCCTATTTTATTTGATCCTTCCAGGTTTATATAATATTAAATCTGGGTAAAACAATCCCCAGAGTGTTATCTGGTTTTAAATCCATTCCGTCCATGATTTTAGCAACTGATAATTCTGTAATACATTATAATACATTTCAGAGTCCTCTGGTAGTCTTTTGAATATGTTGTACAGAGATCTGTATTACACAATTTTCAATTTAGTTAGAAAAAGAGTAACTCTGTTAGTAACATATTTATAAAATATCTATACATATGTCAGTGCTTAAGGTGATCTGCTAAAGATCACATACATCCATGTTTTCCTCTAAAGACATAAAAGTTATATATAATTTGTAATGTAAAATCTCTAGCCAGTAGTTAAAAGGCCAAAATCATTAACTTCTAACTAGCCCAAATCCAACACAGTCTTCTGAAATGTAGTCTTACATAAACCCCAGTATACTAGTAAAATTCTTGTCCTATTTTCCTCTGTACAATCATCCCATCTATATTCTAAACCCGGGTATACTTTATTTTTATGCTGAGAACATCTTAACAGGTCAATTTAAGCCCACAGGAAGTTATTCATAATTGGTAAGAATTGTCATTTGTTTAATTACCTAATGGCTTAAATCACAAATATACCTTGATTTCAAGACCCCATTAGTTGTTTTCAATCAGAGTATAGCTTTGCTTTTTAAAAAATATATGAAATTCTTAAAATTGTTTTACTTTTTACATCTCTGACTTCTGGGTTTCTCCCTCTTAACAGAAATGAACATCTTTCTTGTTAAGTTCTTGGTCATTATTATGTTACAAATTGTCCAACTTTCCCCCAGTGAGAAAGGTCAAGATGGAACATTTTCTTATCTGTCCAACCACATCAAACCTCAAAATAAGTAGCAATAAAACAAGAGATCCATAATCTGCAGCTCTGTTTTCTGACCACCAAGGGGCAGAAATGTATTTCTCCGCCCCCCCCTTCTCACGCAGTTAAAGTTAAAAATTACCTTGTAGAACTCGATCGAAGACGAGGTGATCTGCTAAAAGATCTCATGCACCCACACTTTTAAGCATTATTAAAGCAAGCACAAGTACAGAATCTATATTTTAAAAGCTCTGATTTCATAGTGTAAGGTTTTTCCCTTTAGGGGATCTCTTTCTCTCCCCTTTTCATCCCCCCCTCCCCCACAGTTCGGAAAGGTGCTTTTCCTCTCCTTTCTCAAGTCAATAAATCTGCATTCCCTGGAAACCACTTGATCGCGGATGGCTCATTATGAAAACTTCAGAATATTTATGTTTTAAGGTTGAAGGTCTTTTTCCTTGGTTGCAAACTTAAACCTACCAATCCAGCTTTCTTCCGTGCTTGCTGGAGTTCCTGAATCAAGTTCTGCAGCTCCTTTCCTTCCAGGTAGCCACTTCCTGAAAAGACAAAGAGGCACCCAGGTATCAGACATCTCATTCTGAGTTTCTTCCCCTTTCAATTTCCATAACAGCTATAGTTCTGGCCACCTGCAAAGCTCTCTCCCCCAACATTGATTAACTCTGAAAGGATGCGGAAAGGGTAGCGCAGCCCTCTCCCCGTGTCAAAGTTTGGACCCCCTAAAGGAAAAGAAGGATGGTACGATGTTAAGAATAGCCAGAGAAACTTTAGGGTGTGGTGTCCCCTTATCTCTGCTCCTTCTCTCTCACTCTCCTCCTCCCCCGCCTTCCTACTATTAGCAATCTTGGAGAGAAAAAAAAGTTGAAGGTTTTGGGCTAACGTAGAAAAACACGTAGAAACTTTCAAGTTGATGGTTTGAGAGGAAGCGGGAGAGACAAGATTAGGGAGGTGGGGGAAGAAGTAAAGAAATGAGGGAAAATAGGATTAGGAGGCTCAGGGGAGGGGAAAAGGATAGAAAAGGGCAGGGACATGGGGTCTTCAAACAGTTAAAAAGAGAGGAGATAATCACCGTCTGCGTCGAAATGAAGCCAGATCTCGAAAAACTGTGAGGCTGTGATCTGGGAGGATTGCAGGTGGGATTCTGCCATTGTACAGCCGAGTGTGTGCGTGTATGAGTATGCGTGTGTGTGTGTGTCAGTGCGAGTGTGGGGTGAGCAAAAACCTCAGGGTGTGTGTGTGTGTGTGTGTTTGTGTGTGTGTGTGTGTGTGTGTGTGTGTGTGTGTGTGTGTGTGTGT